ATATATATATATTTATATTGTGAAATTTGTGATGAAATAGTAATTTAGATGTACATATAGTTCCAACTCCCAAGCGTAGCTGGTTCAAAAAGAATTTATGTACAGAAATTTTAATGATGGGAAAAGGAAAGTAAAGAAAAAGAAAACAAAAAATACAGCAGAGGCAGGCGAGCACCGTTGCTTCTGCAAGACACGGAGCTAAAAAAAAATTTCCTTCTTGTGCCACATAAGCCTACTCCAATGAGCATTTCTTATTAGAAACGGTGCTTATAAATAAGAAACTGGTTAAACACCCTCCATTAAAGATACTCTTATCGAATCGTCATGTAATTCACAATATGCTATACTGCGTGATGAGAGTACAAGGAATGCACAAGGACAAATTTAGAGGGGCAAGTGGGGCCTTGGCCCCCTCCCTTAAAAGTTTAATTTTTTTGTAAATATAAAATATGTTTAATATAAAATGTTAGGAAAAGAAATCAATTGAAAAAATTTATAAAAAGCTTTCATCGGAAACATAATTAACAATATTGTAAAGTTCTAATAGATTTTTATTACTTGTAAACTTTAATTAGCATGTTATATTATTTGAATTCATCACTAGGTATGGGTTACACAACTTTATATAGTATTGATACATGGGATTATATATAGTATCTTTTTTTTGGTATAGATGTGTTGTTGTAATTTTATATTTTAATAATTGATGCAGGTTAATATTATAAAACAATTAAATTAACTAGTTATCATTAATGGACTTTATTTTATATGGATAAATTAAGTGAGTCCATCATACTATTAAATTAGATTAAATAAATTTAACCAAACACATCTCAATGTTGACCTATTATTAAATAATGAGAATCCTTCTAACTTAACATGCTATAAGAAGACTATGATCCCTAATATACCAAATCACAATTCATATTCTCTTCTCCTCATGTGAGTGAAGAGAAACTAATGTCTCATTAATAAACTCTGAATTTGATTGAGGAAGAACCATAAATCCTAAGCCATAAAATCATCAATTCTCTTTATTTGAGTTCATTACAATAGTTATTAAAGAATGCCCTCAAACAAGGAATCAACTATGAATGGATGTATTTATCTTATCCTTGAAAATCAAACATGTTGTATATCATAAATCTTTTGTGACATTTTAAATATTATTTTATAACTATTAATATGAAATAAACAATATTTTTATGTTAGAATTTTTTTAAGTGTTTTAAATTTTTATATTTTAATTTGTTATGGTGTTTAATAATAGTTCTTAAAAAAACCTAGCTTTAATTAAAATAATATTTTCTAATTTCGAAATCTCTTAAATATAAATTATTTATAAAAAAACTAGCTTTAATTAAAATAATATTTTAAGTACTAAATTGTTTTAATAGAATTAGAGTTCACACTTGAAAAAAAAATTATAATAAATTTTATTAATGAAATAAATGACACAAAAATAAACGGTAAGCTGTGCAGGATTCATGAACTTGGATAATATATAGGGGCAACTTGATCTACTTGTCAGAAAAAAGGAATAAAAATTTTACCATGGCTAAATGATTAGTACGTTATACAATCAAATAGGGGGGGAAAAAAAACTGTTACACGTGAAGAATGTACTTCATCTTATCTGTAACGCTTGTACATTAAATGATACAATTGAAAATAATTTATTCACTGAATAAAATCAATTCACTAATACCTAAAGTAATAAATTATTCTTTTATTAATTACTTAAAAATGATAAAATAAAAATCATTTTTTGGAAGGAGAAAAAAAAAGAGTATGGTAGCAATACATAATATGATACTTGAAAAATAAAAGCGTTATAAAACAATATTATATTGTATTATTTAGAGGAATCTACCATGGTTCTGGCATAAATGGGGGGCGGGGTGTGTGGAATAACGAGGTTTTATATGTATAATTATTTCTCTTTCTTGTGTGATGATACATTCATTTTAACATTCTCATTTTTGCTACTTAATTTTACTCATGTATAGTCTAAAATTCACCAATAGTCTAAAATAACACTCAATGGCTTTCAATTTCATTAAGTTCTCGATGATGTAATAATATTCATCCTACATAATTACACTTAAAAAACTTGTAATATAACATCTTTAATTTTTACTATCAAATCATTTTCCTCTTACTTTTTATTAAAATTGTGATGCATATATACTTGATCAAAATCCTTCTCATTGAACCAAAATATATCATAAAAGGTGAAAATTTAAGGCTGGGGTATAAAAACATGAATCATTTGGAGGCTTAGCTACGGCAGGGATAAGTGGTTTCATTCATGATGGTTCTGTTGCCTGTTACAATGATAGGACAGCTCCAAACACAAGCAGCCACAACTGAACTAAACCATAATAAACCGGCTAAAGAACAAAAGCAAAAATCTATCTTAACTTAGACCTCTTAGGCATGCTACTGCTTAAACCAGCTCCTCGTGACTTACCAAAGCTTTTAGCCTTTCTTCTTTTCCTATCTTCTTCACTGTCAGACTCATTTCCTTTCTCCCTATCTGCATTACTGGCTTCCCTCTCCAGTTCTTCCCATGT